GGGGGGGAGTGGGGGGGAGGGAAAGGAACAATATCCAAATCTTCGCCCATCAAAATCAAATCAAAATTGCAAATTTTCAATCCCCACATCAAACCAATAAAACAAAGGCTGAGGGCGCTAGCAAAGTTTTGCCGTGCTTCCTTTCAAACAACTCAGGCTGTCCGGAGGTAGTACTGTCCTCTGCCGACCTCTGGCAGTCAATGGACGGCTGGAGCTCTTAGGCAGGCGGTATTCACACACTAGCACCACCACACTAAATGTATGTGACCATTTTTTTTTCAGTCCAGACGTGAATGTATCTGGCCGCAATAACGTCCAAAAACAAGTAAAAAAGTCCAATGTGTGTATGGCCTTAAAACTTGCTGACAAGTTCCAACTCTTCAGGTGTGCTCTGATCATCGAACCCCATGTGATCCGTTGGTGATCCAGATCATCCGAATGTCGTCAAGGATCGGACGTCCAAGATTTTACAGCTGCGGTTCGCGGCTTCCAGTGACGCTGAAGTATTATATTATATATTAAGGCAGACCTGCAGCAGATGCAGACCCCCACTGAAGTCTGTATGTATGCGATGATGCTTAGTAGCTGGCGCAAGTCACCTGGATGCCTGCCTGGCTGGTAGCAGACGACATTCCAGCCTGAGGTTGTTGTTGTTCCGGAATGGAATCTGCACCACCCAACTTCCTCCAAAAACATCCATTCCGCTCACAGCCACGTGTTCCAGGTTGTTGTGTTCCAGAATCGAAACCTGGAATGGAAACTTCGATTCGGCAACACATCAACCGCCCAACTTCCACCCGTAACATCCATTCAACTCACAGCCATGCGTTCCACGTTGTTGTTGTTCCAGAATCGAAACCTGGAATGGAATCTGGACCACCCAAATTCCACCAGTAACATCCATTCCACTCACAGCCACACGTAACCTTTCCACAAAGCACTGGCCGCAGGCCATGTCATCAGGTCAGGACCGTGTCATCACGTCAGAACCGTGTCAGCGCGTCGGCATGATTCCTGAATTTACCGCGCCATTGATACTACTATGCACTTCGGCTCAATCTTACTTGAAGAATCCCTTCTGAAAGAGGTCACCATGTCATGTTGCCACACCCAGGAAAAGATGAAGGAACAACAACAACAACAACAACAACAACAACAACAATGACAACAACAAGAATTTAGAAAACTGCCGATGAGATTTTAATAGTTTGGGTATCCCTTTTACATAAACCACCACAACATTTCCCAGCTATTGGCCAATGGCGGACATTTTGTTCATCGTGAAAGAATTTGTCGGAATTTTTTGTTTTGTTGCAGGGAGGCCCATACATCCCAGCCCAAAAAAAAAAACCAGCATACTTTTTTTTTTTTTTTTTTTTTTA